ACTTGTATATTATAAATGGCATTCAAGGCTTCTTAGGGCTTTTGAGCAAAACCTTCAATCTATGGAGTATTTTTCAGTACGTAATTCGATTATAGCTCTTAATACAGTAGTATTGTATTTCCCAGCTATCGATACATTTGGTAAGAAACTTCAGGAAGATATTGATAAAATTGTAAAGAACGGAGACCGGAGCGACATTCGAACTTTGGCCCTAAGCTACTCAGCGATATTAAAAGGGAAACAACAATCCTGGGTTTCTGTCCGATCTTTCCAGAAAGCAAAGAATTCCCCTGCCATGGACTCAGCACAACATGACGAAAAAGGATCAAAGCATGATGAAAACCTTGAAAAAGGGCCACAAAAGCGCGATGAAAGGTCAGATAAAGGGTCTGCATCTCCTGCACAAAGGGCTGCTCAATCTCCAGTAGTTGCACGTTCGGGTCCTTTATCAAACGTACGAGGCGCACATCCATCCTCTCCTTCGTATTTAACTACTCGAGCCAGTCCACGGATGCAAATACATCCATTGCCCGATAAACCTATTAAACAGGAACGCGGACAAATTCGTGATAAAGAGCATGAGAGAGAGAAGGAACATGAGAGAGATCGTGCCAAAGATAGAAAAGATATGCAGATTGAGCGTGATAAAGAGATCAAGAAAGGCGATCATCATGATAGAGACAAGGAGATTTCCAAAAAATTGGATCATTATGATCGTGATAAAGAACGAGAACAGGAAAGGGATCGCAAACAAGAAATTTCACGTAGTGGTGATGATAAAAAGGATCCATTGATCCGCAATAAAGAAAGATTAATGAATGAAGATCCAAATAAAAGAACTGATCATCGTCTTCGTGATCGTGACGATAAAATTAAGGAAAAAGAACGTGACAAGCGTGATGACAGACGAGAAGAACGTCGTGATAAAGCGAAAGAAAAAGAACGTGACAAATCCAGGGAACGTGAACGGCTGGATGAAGATAGGGATAGGCGTGAAAGTGATCGTGGCAAAAGAAAACACGCAGAAGAGCCTACAATCAGGCGTTCACGTGACAATATGATGACCCAGAGATTCGTAAGTAAGAAAAGAGATCGAACTGAAAGAGATCGCGACAGCGAACTTGAACAAATTCCTTCAAATAAGAGGAGGAGTATCGAAGGTATCTCTCCAGTTCTTCGTCCACCCGTTAAACTTAATCGTGCTATGGAACATAACGACTTTATTGCTCCAATGCCAGGCAAATCAATTGGTGGAAAGCGAAATGATAAACGAGACACTCGAAGAAGGTAGTAATTATAGCCGATTAAAATTTATAAGCTTAGCCGAGACGATAATTTTGATACGTCCAATCTGGCTTAGTTGGCTATTGTCTAATATTTCAAATTTTGAACGATAAACTTCCGCTGTCCATGCACGTATTTTATTTTTATTTTACAAACAAAATTAAACGTCGTTGTGTAACGTTTCGAAGTAAAGAAAACGTTAGCATTTAAATTTATTATTAAGAATGATTTATTCAATTTTTTTTTATAAAAATTTTATAATATATTGCGCTTGTTTTTACTCATTGAATTTTTTAATTTGCACCTATATAAATTGAATTTAATATTTGTCAATTCAATTATGTAATTAGATTTGAAAACTTGTATAGATTATCACTTAAATTTGTATTTGTATATATACAAATTTTTTAAAAAAAATATACTGATATTTTTTACATAATAAATTATACGATATTGTAAAAATATACGTGGTATAATATCACTATATAGTGTATTTAATATAGTGATGTGAGTTGGTAACTACCGGTAGCTGTCTACCACTGGTAGCTACCGGTAGTTACCGGTAGCTACTGTGAGGTTAATAATGGGTTGATGACATAGCAGTTTATTAAATCTGATTGGTTGATTATGACTTGCACTATATATATCATATAATTTTTAAAAAAAATAGGTAGAAGAATTAGCCAATTAGAATGAAAGCCTGATACTACAAGCTACCGATATATGGGGGGGTGCCAGTAGAAACCAAGCATCTTGTTTTTAGTGAGTTTTTTTAAAATTTTAAATTAAAATATCTCA